GGGGGCGCCCAGGCGAGATCGGCGGCCGCGCAGGGTACGTGGGCCGCTCGGTCTGTGCCGGGCGCATCCTGACTGCGCTGCGCTCCCGTGGCTTCCCTTAGAAACAACCCTTCAACTCCCGCCCCCAGGCTGTGCCGTCTTGAGGCCACTGGCTCCTTACTCGGGAAATCCAGCCCTTCAGCGTCTGCACCGCAGAGCCCCAGGGCGGGGCCGGGGAGGTGGGGATGCGGCCCGCACAGGGCAGAGGCCCCGTCTAACTGTCTCTCACTGTGTTTGCAGAAGAAAACGGTCTGTTGGTTGGAGGGACCCGAGCTGAAGGGGGCCGGGGCGCCACCGGCAAGGATTGCCCCTTCTGCGGGAAATCCTTCCGCTCAGCGCATCACCTCAAAGTCCACCTGCGAGTGCACACAGGTGAGGGCGCGCCTCCTGCGGGGGGCGGGCGGCCTTCAGACTGACTGGTGCGATCGGCGGGGAAATGCTGGGTTTATTGAGGCCGCGCCAGTGAGACAGTCTGTGTTTCTCGTTCCTGATCTGAGGATGGCGTCTGTACATTGCGCCAGGGGCAAGTGGGCGTGTGTGGTGATGGGGACCCCAGGGTGTTATCTCCCTGCTCTCCAGGTGAGCGCCCCTACAAGTGTCCGCACTGCGACTACGCGGGCACCCAGTCCGGCTCACTGAAGTATCACCTGCAGCGTCACCACCGTGAGCAGAGGAGCAGTGCAGGCCCGGGGCCACCCCCTGAACCGCCACCCCCTTCCCAGCGGGGTTCCGCCCCACTGTCTGGAGCTAAGCCAGCTCAGCAGCCTACTACCTGGGTGGAGGGCACCGCAAGCCCCCGGGCCGCCAGCAGTACCGGTCCGGGTTCCCGGCGGAAGCCTGCCAGCCCCGGGAGGACCCTGCGCAATGGGCGAGGCGGTGAGGCCGAACCCCTGGACCTGTCCCTGCGGGCAGGGCCGGGAGGTGAGGCCGGGCCAGGGAGTGCCCTCCACCGCTGCCTTTTCTGCCCCTTTGCTACTGGAGCCCCCGAGCTCATGGCTTTGCATCTCCAAGTACACCACAGCCGCCGGGCTCGGGGTCGCCGGCAGCCCCAGGCCGATGCATCTCCCCCCTATACCCGAGTACCATCAGGAGAGGCCCCTCCCAGTCCTCCTCTGGAAGGCGAGGAGGGCCCTGGGCTAAGATCAGGAGAGACAGGACTGGGGGGTCAGGAACGGTAGGGAACCCTCTTAGGGGTGATTAGCTTAGTGAGCTTTCCCCGCAGGAGCAGGGAAGCACTAGAGGTAGTTGGGTAGAGCAGCCAGCAGGGGCAGCGTGGGACCCACATCCCAGCCCCAGGCCGACCAGAAGTGGAGGGGCAGCGGGCGAAGGAGGGCGGGCAGCGGTGCCCACCCAGCAGCCCACGGGAGTCACAGTGCCTTAGAAATGGCAGAGGTGAGGGTCAAAGAGCGGGGTCCCAGGGCTGGCAGAGAAGGTTGTGTCCCTGTTGAGGAACCACTCTGCCAGTTTTCGCTGGTCTATAGGCCTGAGAGTTTATTTTTGTACAAGGGGGTGGGGGTGGGGGGCACTGTACCCTTCTAGCCCCATCAGGGGCCCTGTAGACGTTGCTATTTTTGGTACGATTCCTGTCATCCCTGTCGCAGAGTTGTGTCCCCAATAAACAGGTGTCTTGAGGCACAGGGTCCTGCGTCGGTCTGCCTGTGTCTTACTCCCTTCTTTGGTCTCTTTCATCCAGGAAGTTCACCTTTTCAAGCACCCAGTTATCACTCAAAAGAGCTTGTGTGTCCCAGGCTTCATATTTGGTACCTCTAGGTGGAGCCTAAAACATCTAACAAGTCACTTAGGGAGCTACTCATGCATCTGGCCTGAGTACCTCACCGGAGAACTGCGGGACCCCAGTTTGTCTGTGACCAGCTCAGCCTGCAGAAGTGGGTGCAGTATAGGAAGAGAAGCTCCGGAGTTCATTGAGCCCCTGGGGGCCACTGTGCAGGAACACATTCGCCTGGGCTCATGCATAGTCAGCTTTGGGCCAGTAAGGCGTAGAGAGTACCTTTTATTCTTGGTTTTATTTTCTGTGTTCTACTTAACGGGTGGTGGAGGGGAGAAGTGCTCAAGTTAAAACACCTTAATCCAGAGGATGGCTCTGGCTCCTGGGAGGCAAAGTGTGAGTACATTTAATATAATATTATAATAACAATAATTACATGTATAAAGTCTGCAGTTCCTGCCCTGCTCTAGTATTATGGTTTGCAAAGCTCCATTTCGTGTGACACCACGGGATGGAGTCACCAGGAGCTCCCCTGACCTGGCAGAAATGTGTCTTCTCTGGGTGTCAAGATGAGAAGAGGAAGTGGGCTGTCAGTGCAGCAGTGTCCTGGGGGTGTGCAGTGGCCCAGGATGGGGAAGGGTTGGAAGAGGGAGGATTTCCCACCTCCAGGGTATGAAGGCAAGCAGGTGTGGCCACGCTGGTTCCTGCAGGAGAAGGCACCAAGCAGGGGAGAGCTAAAGATAGCAGTAACAGGGGGATGCTTTGTTCCTCAGCCCTCTTCCCTGTCCAGAATGCAGAAGAATTGAGTGCTGTCCTAGTCCTCCTTAGGTGTCACTGCCATCCCAGCCCAAAACGTGCTGGCTCTGCTCTAGAAGCCAGGAGAGAGGGAGATGGAATAAGAGACGGAAGGTGCTGACTCCCTGGCTGCTGAGGTGAGGAAGGACATTACTCTCAGGAGGGGGCCTGTGGGACATGGGGGAAAGGATGCTGACTCACCTCAGTCACAGAGGCGTGGTGGGGTCACTCAGGGCTCGAGCATGACTCTGAGGGCAGAAAAACAGTGAATTTAGAGACACATTCCTCGTTTCTCTCTCCCCTAAGCCTGCTTCTGTTAAAGGCTTTTTTAAACTTCTGAACTCGATGCCTCTTTGCAAGGGCTGGGGGAGAGGAGCACAGCGTACTGAACTAGAAATCCAACCTGTAGCCTCAGCTGGGAGCACAAGACCACTGGTTCCCTCTGGCCCTCAATGGACTGAATGAGAAAAACCCACCCAGAAAGAGACCACAGAGATCACCCATCCTTCACCTTACTGCAGGGACTTACCTGCCAGGACAGCCCTAAGATCCCTCCACTGGCCAGGGTGGGAGTGCTGCTCCCAGGGTGGGGGGGTTGCACGCTGGGGCTGTTTCTTGGTCCTGGGGACACATCTCCGGAAGAGTCAAGTGTTTCTGGGGCTAGGGGGGAAGACTGGGTGAGAGCAGGTATAAAACTGCTCCAGATTACCTTAAGCAACCAAGCTGCTCCATCAGGGAAGAAAAAGCTCCATAGCAACAGGAAGCTGTGAGTCACCAGAGCAATCCAGTTGCAAGAGAACCCCCCCTACCAAGAGGCAGGAAATTGTCAGCAGCATCATTAGAGCAACCAGGGAAGAAGCGACAGGAAACTATAAGGATTGCTGTGGTGAACCAGGAGGGTACAACACGATGCTGAGGCAGTTTCCATGGAAACCCAAGAAGTGCTAGAGAGAGGTACAGAGGAAGTACTTCTTAGCAACAAGCTGCTGTAAGCATCACCCTAGCAACCAGATGAAAGGCTCTTTTAGCAATGGGAAAGCTGTACATAGTTGTCATGACAACCGGGCTATTTGGCTAGAAAAAGGAATTGCTTAGCAGCAGGCAGCCTGAACATCACCATGGTGACCCAGCTGTTGGGAGCCACCCCTTGAGAGGTGCCTCACCCAGGGAAATGTGCTTGACGTCCAGATCCCAGGCCTCCTCCTCGACGCGGGCAGGCAGGGAGCAGGCTCCCGGTGAGAGGCCGGGAAGGGAAGGGCCGGCATGCTCAAAGGATGACACGGCCACGGAGGCCCGGGTGCGGGCAGCTGCAGAAAGTGGGGGGTGGGGGTGGGGGTAGGGGTGGGGTGCTGGTGTGGGAAACCCTGCCTGGCTCCCTGGACCATCTCAGTCTCATAGAGGGCCTCTCAGTTAATCCCACAGAAGTCGGAAGAGATACCCATTCATTACCCTTCCTGACTCCCACCAGACCTCCCCATTGCTTGCATTGTTAGTAACTCTGGGGACTCCCCCAGCACCCTGGCCCTCACCTCTCCCGGTAAGCAGGGCACTCAGTGTCCGTTCCCCAAGGGCTTTGATGTCCAGGAAGGGTTTATTCCCAATGCCCATGGACACCATCTGCTGCACTCGGAGCTCTAGGGAACAGACACCCTGTTAGCAACCTCCTGCTGCTCCTGGCTCCACCCCTGCACACCATGGCTGACTCCATTTCCCTCCCTCCCCACTCATTTCTCCCTCTCATTTCTCTGGTGTCCGGCTACTCTTCCCCTTGACTATCATGACATGGATGGTGCAGTGTCTGTGACTTCCTCCTCAGATTTATGTAGAATTCTGCCCATTTGGCATCCTGGCCACCTGACTTTGCTTCTAATGTTCAGCTTCCCCTTATCTTGGGCATTATGGAAAAAACTCACATTTTTAAATATTATTGCAGTTTACAAAGTGCTTCCATGTATTCTAGCTTATATTTTCCCTATTACACTAAGATGAAGATACTACTATTTAATTTTTCTAAGGACTAGACAGATTCAAAAATTAAAAAAAAAAAAAATCTGAACTAAAACGAAACCAACTAGCCAACAAACTACTTCAGATCACACAGCAAGTGAGTGGTACCTATTCTTAATCCCCATCCAGGGTGCACTTTCTTCCTTTAGCCCCACCATTTGCTTCCCTGAAATTTGTTAGCTTTCTCTTTCCTTTCGGTACACCTTAGACTGATTTCTTTATTTCTCTCTCTCCTTTTTTGAGGTAGTATCGTATTTTGCAGTTCAGGGTTCAAGCTGGCCTTGAACTCACTATGTCGCCCAGGGTGGCTCTGAACTTGTGGCAGTCCTGCCTCAGTCTCTGAAGTGCAGAGAATACAAGCATGCGCCACCAAGCCCGGCAGCCTTAGACTCCTCTCAAACTCAGCCATCTCCCTAAAGCCAGATCTTGAATCTTCTCTTAACTCATTCCTCTTCCTTTACCCTATGCTGTTTTTCCCAGAAACCCCTCTATTGTCAGAAAGCCTCCAGCCACACTGTCTCTGTTACTCCCAGTACCCTTGTTGTGGGCTGCCTGTCTCCACAGTAGCTGGGCAATGGAACTTGTCCACTTGAGTTTGACCTCTGGTGAGGCTGCCTGCAAAGTGTATGCCTCTCGTGCACGCCGCCGGCGGAACCACAGTTCAAAGCAGAGCCCGCTGTCCCCGATGTTTTCTGTCAGCCCCATGTCAGCAGTCTGAGGAAGGACAGAGGGCAGTGAGTGGAGATGCGTGAGTCCTGGCTACCAGGTACCACTTGGGCAAGCACTATGTTTAGCCTGGCATCTGGTGGATGTTCAGTAAACAGTGCCAAGTGCTCTACATGTAGTCTTCACTGCAACTATAATTTACAGGAGGAGGAATGAAGCCCAGTAACACAAAGCAACTTGCCCAAGGTCTAGCCAGATCATTAAAGTGGGGATTGGAACCTGTGTCTGTATTATTTCAAACCTGGGCCTCTTTTTCTATATGCTACTCCCTCTGAAAAGGCCAAACTAGTATAAGAGGACAGAGTCTAGGAACCTTTGGAATCACTACATGTTGTCTGATCAGGGTTATAGATTGCTATGAACATTTATGTGGCTGGTTTCCTAAAGCAAGGATTCCCTCTTTTTGGTCTTATTTTGGTTAAGTTATCTAGAATGTCCTTTCTTCTATACTCCTGGGACCATCCCTAACTCAAAAGCCATGCGTGTCCTTACTGGGAAACATTGCTTCCATTCTGGCTTGAGATGCCTGATAAGTCTCCCACATGAACTATAAGAAGAACGCAATAGAGTAGCCCAGTGACAGGGACTTCTGCCACCCCCTGATGACTGATTGCAAAGCAAAGGTAATGTCGATTCTGAATCTGGGTTTGTGCTGAGCTTACAAAGATGTTCTCTGAGTACTCAAGAAGAGTGCCAGCCCTCACACTTCAATTCTAGGCCACGTACCTTAAAAGCCTGCTTGTAAACAAAGCTCTCAGATCCCCCCTCAGCGCCCTTGAGCTTGCTGAAGAGGAGGAGGTGCTCAAAGAGAAAGACATGGCGAAGGCACTTCTTCCGGCCACAGGTGACAGTGAAGGGGTCCCGATGCAAGAGCTGTCCCTGCTCCTTCAGATCTATCTGAGGAAAGGAAAAGAACAGGCTCTTGGCCAGGGGCCCTTTGTGTGCATTTAATGAGGAGTAAAAATAGATTTGCAGAGCAAGGAGACTCATGAACTGGTCCTCAGGCAGTCAGGAAATCAGGGAAGGCCTTAGTCCAGAATGCAGCCCTTGGTCACCAGGCCCAGCAGACCCCATCCAGCAGCATAGCTCCATTCTGAAAACGGGAAGAGCCATTGCTTGGTAGGGCTTTCAGCATCCTCTGGGGAAGCCTTTGTATGCTGAGGACCCAGGAAGAGAACCAGCAAAGAGCTGGGGTGGCTCTGTCCCAGAGGAGGTAAGATTCTAGCCTCATCCAGAGTCTCAGGGCTAGACAGACTGGGCAGAGAACAACTATGTGTCAGGCACTGAGTGTGTACAGCACAGATAGGGAAGGTAAGCCTTAGGAGGAGGAGAGCACAGGGCAGATATGGGAATGTCAGTCAGACTGTAGCTTCTTTATTTACA